CCCCAAACCCCCAAAACCCCAAAACCCAAAACCCCAAAACCCCTGTATTAAAAATTAAGCTGAAGAAATTAAGATTAGAAATAAATAAATATCAATTTAATCAATCTCTATTTGTATAGCTACCATTATTGCTTTTAACAAATTTAGATCTTGAAATATCTTTTCTAATTCTAAATTCAGGATGAAAAGTGTCAATAAATGATTAGCTTCTTATTCTACTTAATTAAGGTTCCATTAATTTTTATGACGTCTGCTAAAGTTGTTAGACCAGAAATGATTCTTAATTTAGAAGTTACTCTGCATTCATTTTAATTTGTTCTATCTTATCCAAATCTTAAGATATATGCTAATCTTTATCTAATTTTACCAACATTCTTTTATAAGCATTGAATCTTTCAATATTCAATCTAGATTACTATTTTTATCTGTGTATCTCTGACCTCACAATGTGATTCTGATGCTAGTTTATTAGCTTTTATTCGAAAAGCTTCTGCCGATTCTCAAGTTTTTCAAATTTTAGTTTAGATACCTCTTCTAATATCTTAAGTTTGTATTGATTTTACTGCTACGCAATCTTTAAAGATTACTCTTACTTTTTCTTTATAGATAATTCTCTCTTCTCTTCTAGTTTCTATCTTTCTTCATTTTCTAATTCCTACCTGAGCATCTTATCTTCTTTGACTCTCTAGTGAGAAATCGAATGATTTATGGCTTCTTATTTCTGTCTTTATAGTTTCTTATAAAGCTTATATTCCTAAATTTATAACTTATTTACTCTATTTACTATATGAAACAACTCTTCTTCCTTCCTATAATAGCAGTTAAATCATTAGTATCTTACAATTTTCTGAGTTTTATTGTATCAATGACAGTACTCTAACTCTTATTCAAATATCTTACCTCACTCTTAGACTCCTGTTTTTCATTACTTTATAGTACATTAGAAGTATTACTTTCACCAGCTATGAAATTTCTGTTACGATATGTCTTAAGTGGAAGTTATCTCTATTTTTAATTAATGATTGGGTTGATTTAGGCCTGTCCTGGTGGCTCAGTGATCACTGTTTTTTAATTATAGATAATTTGTGACTTTTACTAGTTTCTACGCAAAAAGGTTTTAAGTAACTTTGATTGAGAGCTACTTCTTTTAATCTTTTCATCTGGCTTGGCGTATTACTAGAAGTCATTGATGCTTAAATCTTTATTAAACTCTTAATTTTATATAGATTCACTATCTTTTACTTCATTTTACTATTCAAGGACATATTCTAAAGCATCCTTATTGAAACTTAAATCATTAATGTTTTGATTAGTGTTGCTTGTTTCACCTACTATTATACTTTAAGTTGATAAGATAGGATCAATGAAAGGAATCTTATCTTTTAAAGAATCAAGTTAAGAATCTTATCATAAATTAAGGAATTGACCTTCTTATAATTGTTGCTATTCATAAGTATTTGTATCAATGAAAAGTTCTTTTGGATTCTGATTGTTTTCATGTATTATATTGGATTCACTATCACTCTTTATTTATGCTAATGCTATTTGCTCAAACGGTGATCTTGTACCATCATCAAAAGTAGATCTTAGATTAGAACTACTTCTTTTTTTCTAATTCTTTGTTTCAATATTTGCCTTGTATCTTTGATACAGATCAGCTATTGCAAATATAAGCATAGACATAAATTATTTTTTCCTTAGATAATTAAAATTAAATTAAAAATATTTATATCTTTTGACAAAAATAAATGAAATTCTATGGGGTTTTGGGGTTTTGGGGTTTTGGGG